AATATCTGTTTGAGTTCATTACTTTGTTTTCAGCACAGTTTGAGACACACTTTTGATCTTTTCAGGGACTCTACAGGAGGTTATGTGACATGTAAGAGTCTTTTTGGAGAAACAAACAAAAGTCACAGTTTGGTCTCTATTGCTGAATAATGAGAAACAACCGAGATTCAGTGGAGTAGTGAATATGCAGAGACAAAATTAACACTCTCCAAGTGCCAAACAAAACTAAGAATTTACTTGCCAGTTGGACTTTGTATATAACCAATATACTGCATAATTTAAGATGAAATGATATACTGACTAAAGAATCCAACTGTCATAAGGACAAAAATAAAACTGTGAACACATTTACATGACCAGTAAAAAATAAATATGGCCAATCATTTTCTCAATTTGCTCACATTTGGCAGATGTGGCAAAAAGTTAGTTTTGAATCCTGGCTGTGGTTACGCCAGAGGAGACTGTTCCTCATTATATCAGATTGATGTCTTTTATCTTGCTTTTCAAGTCTGTAAGTGGAAGAATTACTGACAGGCCGACTCTGTAGAAACACATCAACTATGTTACATCCTTCTTGCATCATCAACTGTCTCCAGTCAGTCAACCAGCCAACCTAACCAAGCGATCATTCAACAGAATTCAGGTCTGTGCTGTACAGTGTTTCATCAGGCCTTTCCTTCCGTTTTCTGCTGTGCTGGAACACATTGAAATCCCTTACAAATTATTTAGGAGAACGATTAAATGAGCTAATATTTGGAGATGTTTTCTGTGTGAAGAACTCTGCAATTAAATTCTGGTTCTTGGTAGTTTGGGTCACCTATAGTGTGCATAGTATGTTAACTGACTGTCCAATCTGTTGTCAAGGTTTTTCCACCTGAAAAACTATTTTAACAGTCAATATCTGGAGGAAACTACCTACAATTACTTGTAGTTACACTAGAAATGTATTACTGCTGCAGCAACTATAAATTCAATAATAGTGTATAATGAAAATAATAGACTGCAAAGCTTATTATTAATTAGTTGTGTCCGTGTGCTCTGTCAGTGACATGACTTCTGTTTACGGTAGTGAAACATGCATAACAATGCATATAGGTATGCACATATTGAGATATGCCAGAAAAAAATGTATGACCTAACCTGTTTAAAACAGGAAAGAACTTTATTAAACTTCAAATATACTCCTATAGTTTCACATGGGTAAGCTGTATAATATTTAAATTTAATGTAATAATATATGTAATGTATAATATATAAATATAAGTCAGTATTTCCAATTTGTATAAAGACCTGTGTTGATATTGAGTGAGTCTCAAACAGATGGAGTAGGAAAAAAACAGTTTAATGATAAAAAAAAAAAAATTCAATTTGATGAAATGTTTGTTGTCAGGCAATAATTTTGATAAAACAATTTTAATTGAAATTCTCCATGTAATGCAAGTAGCAATATTTGTATGAGAACAGTAACAGGATAATAAATGTAACTGTATATAAATGCAAGAGGTCTGTAACATTTACAAGAAAAGTGATTGTAATGTGTTACTATGATTAGAGGAGTGCTTTTGATTTTTACATTTATTTGTATTTATTATTATTCATAATTTAGTGTAATGTATCCTATTATTTTAGTAATTTAGTAGTAATATCCTTCTGCTTGCAAACTATGGGCAAACATTTTAAAATGTATTTGTGTATTTATTATTATTATTATTGATAATGATCAAAATAAGCATTAGGTGTAGCCTTGGTGTTTATTAGTTTTTGAAATACATTTTATGCTATTTTTCTGTAGTTTTCATGAGAATCCCTCACCAATTTTTAAATACATTTTTTCCATGTCACTATTTTATTGTACAATCGACTATACACAAATTTTCAGTTGAGCAAATTGTTTTTGATTATTCTCAGTCAGGGGATCATTTCCTGTCAGTTTTTGGCCAAAATAAGCTTCAATGTGGATCAGTTTTTAGTCAAAGGTGAGACTAGGTCAGTATAATATAAATAGTAAAATATAGGAGAGTGACAGAATATGTTGTGTCCTCCTGATTAGCATCATAGCCGCCACCATGATGTGTGTACAGTAAACAGATGAAATTGCTCATCTCCTGATGTAGCAGCTGTGTGTTGTTGTGTGGTGCGCATGTATGTGTGTAATGAACTCTCTGCAGGGAGCTTTCAGCTCTGTGCTCAAGATCATGCGGCCATAAGGGCCCAGGTGCACGGCCTTATGGGATTGTGGATCAGTGGCGTAGTGGGCAATGCATTTCAACCCCAACCCGTGCACTCAAACACCCTCATTCTGTCATGATTTCCTCTGACCTTGCGCTTCACTCTCTCCACAAGCGTTTGCCCACAGATGCTTGTGGATCAGACAGAATTGGAGCTCTGAGCTCCCTTAATGCTTTCAGAGATTTGCTCTCTTTTCAGCCTCGGCAGCCAAACGACTGCTGCTCTTCCCAAAACACGCCTCCCCCCGTTTTACACACTTTTAAGCACCGTTCTCCCGTCTGCATTTCCATCAAATACTGCCTTTTCCCCAGGGGCCAGCTGACTCGATAAACAAACAGACCAAAACAAACACGTAGAACTCCGCCGCGTTCACTCATTTACGGCGCAAACTAATTATGGACGCTTTGCAGTGTGTTGAGACACGGTAGTGAACACAGACTAATGCAGGGAGAGAGCTCATGTGTTCCTGACCCAAAATAAGCTGCAACTCTTGTTCATAGTTTCCCTGTCAGCCTTCCCAAAGCTAGAATACACAAAATAACTTGTGCCTAAAATAACATTTGCCAGGCTATTTTCAGTTTTTATTTGTATAGGACTTTTAGGAGTTTGAAAGAGTTTTGGAAAAATTTGCTTTTTAAATAACAATAGTAGTATTCTTTTATATTTATATTACTTTTGTTTACGTTTTATTCTAAATTCATTTTATTCTAAAATCTGTTGCCACAGACTATTATAAAATTCTGATTTTTTTTTAATGCAAGATCAATATTTTATATAATTATATTTAATATAATAATATGTACTGTTAGTAATATTAATATAAACTAATCAACAATAATAATAGTAATAGTAATAATAATAATAATAAATATTATTGTTTACATTTTTCGAAATTCTCTCCAAGTTGAGTTCGGCTCTATTGAGAGTATCTGTTGCCACACACTATTATAAAATTCAGGCTATTTTTTAAATAAAAGATTAGTATTTTTTTATAAAAAAGTAATGTTTATAATTATTAGTAATACTAATATAACTTTATTATTATTATTATTAATAATAATAATAATACATAGTATTGTTCACATTGTTGCATTATATATTGTTTGTTTACATTTTTAAATACATTTTCTCCAAGTTGAGTTTGGCTCTATCGAGAGTATCTGTTGCCACACACTAAAAAATATATATAAAAAAAATAAATAAAATTATACAATAATAGTAATAATAATGATGATAAAAAAATAATAATCAGGCTATTTTTAATGCAAGATCAGTATTTTTATTAAAAAATAATTATAAATGTAATTATAAATGTTGGTAATACTAATATTAATTTCTTAATAATAATAATAATAATAATAACAATTCTCTCCAAATTGAGTTTGGCTGTACAGTGAGTATCTGTTATGAGTATGATATAGACTTGCAGTCTTGTGGACTTTATTCACACGCATCCTTGAAGTCCATGTCTTTGTCTTTTTAAGTTCGAGAAAGCTGCTCACAAAAGCCACCTTTGATGCCGTTATGCACCTAAATGTGATAAATGTCTGTTTTGTATTTGTTTCTGCATATTCAGCTGGAGAAAGTATTTTACATTTAAAATTACGCACATTTGAAAGTTGAGGATTACTTTTATTCTCACCATAACATCATATTTTGTTGGTCTGAGTTTGGATATACTAGTTTTCTAGAACAACAACACTTCTGCTCCTCATTAAAATGCTAAACAGCTCATTAGCATGTTTGAATGTCTTGATTATTTTGGCCTGATTTTGTAAGGTTGCATTGTTCTGCTCTCCAAAGTTTTGGAGAACCAGTGACAGGTAATTTGGGTTCCAGCACCAGTAGTTCCAGTGGTTATTTAAAATATTTGTTGGTTATTGTCTATTAGCATGCAGTATTATACATGCAAACTTATAACCTGCAAGCTCTTTGTCACATTCAATCTAGAGGAGGTTTTTAAGTCCAGTGAAAAGTTTGTTGGTATGAACGCATTTTAAAAGCAGTTATTGATTGTTTGCCAGGGAAATTCATTACATCCAACAGACTGAGAGAACACAGTACATTATTTACATGTATGGTTGTTTTGAAATATCTGTATCTCTCGAACTTCATACGGGCTTCTTAAAATTTAATAATTTTTATGTTTTTGTTTAAATGGTTTATTTGTCATTTTGACTGCTTGTGCAAATATAGATAGTAAATCTTGTTTAAAACTGTTACTGCTGTGTTGTTCAGAAGCTAATATTATCAAAGGTATTGAGATATCTAGTGTAAAAGGTAAGATATCCAAACTGTTTGCATAATTTCATTTTGCCACTTCACTGGACCGAAACTTCTACAAAACATTTGAATGTTCACCGGATTTATTGTCTTGGTAAACTCGAGAAGGCATATGGCATACAATACCCTGCTAAATAGCAAAAAAGACCCACTATGAGACTATAGGTGTATTAATGGAAAATCATTTTTAATATAAAAAATAACTAAATGTGAAAAAAATTACTGTAATTCACCACCTTCAGGCCCCCTAATTGAAGAGTTCCTGGAATTTCAGATGAAAAGACTTCATGTGAAAAAAATCCAGCCAAAAATGGTGAACGTATGCATTTTAGTCAAATGTGCTTCTCTTTTATATTCATAATTTGACTCTTTGCACTAACATGGTTAGTGTTGATTTTATTTATGCCAGTCGGTGTGCCTGACATGATCCTTTAACCTTCATCAAGTCATCAAAACAGATTCATGTGCAGACATTAATTTTACATTAGCAACGCTGGTTGATCCTGACAAGCATAATGTAATCACTTCTTCAGTATGAATGTTATGCAAATTCTTTGCTTGCATATTTATAAATGCATGGATATGCTCTTAATAGGTTCCCCTGGATATTTCGGTCCCTTGGAGAAGATTGTTGCATGTGTGTAACATTACACCAAAAGGCATGTGGATAAATGAAGGTGTCCAGAGACAAGACTCTACAGTGTTGACTTAAAATCACCTCATGTGTTGCATGCTTCCCAGAACTTGTAGTGAGTTACTAATTTAGCATGTGCATAATTGCATTTGACAATAGCATTTTTCATTATATACAGTGCACAATGCACAAGGTATACATATTATCAATATGTATGTCCCTTAGGATTTTAATTACTTTGCCATTATTAGGACTGCACAGTTTTAATGAATATAATTTACATTGTTTTAAGTATTCAAATGTTAAAACCTTTATTATATTACATTATTATATATATATATAATAAAATATATAAATACAAATTAATATTTATTATAAGCATTGCGTTAGCAGCGCAAAAGGTCATGGGTTCAACTCCCAGGGAATACACATACTGGTAAAAAATGTATAGCCTGAATGCACTGTAAGTCGCTTTGGATAAAAGTGTCTGCTAAATGCATCAATTATTAAATTATTATTATTAAATATATAAACCAGTATGTAGTGAAGATATATTTGTATCAAGCACTGTATTAAATGAAAATAGGAAGCTTTGAGATGTGTTTCCACATTTTATATGACAAAGTAAAATATTACATTTCATTGCCAGATCATCATAACTAAATGATTTGAATTCCATAAATGTTTCCCCAAACAGATGGTTTCTATGCATGATTTTTTTTTTGCTCAAGCCAGACAAAACAACTAATTAGCAAATGTTACAGTATACACTCAAATAAACAGTATATAAGAATAAACTCAAGCAATTCAATTTCTGTCTGCTTGATATAATTCCACCCCCCCCTAAATAGATTCAATTAAAAATGGGATGGTGCTTTAGTATTTGGTTTAGGTATTATACCCTCTACTGGAGCATGTCAATATGAACACACAAACCTGAGCTGTGTGGCTCATTAATGAGCTTTACTTATTTTATTTCTGAGTATTACAGCATATTCAACAACAGCAGCAGCAGCAACAACAACAATAATAATAATTTTTATTTTATTTTATATTATTTTATTTTATTATTTATTTATCTGTTCATTTATTTATATTGTAGTATGTATACTTTAATATATTATTAAAATATTATTTAAAAAATATGAAATGTAGTTATAATTTCATGTTGATTTTAAAAGCCTGTAATGGTTTCATTTTAAGCGTTCAGAGAGTCATTTTGCATCCTCAGAGAGATTTGACCATGTTGACCCTTGTGGAATATGATGCTGCTGCTTTTAATATCTAAATGCAGCTGTATTGTTATTGCCGTTTTTAAATAAACTGCAGTCAGCTCTGTGGAGGGCTTTTGCCTGCGGTTAGCAGCACTAATCAGTTGTCATGGTCAATTACAAAGCTTGTCAGGAGACTGTGGCTCAACCTTCCAGATTTTGACCCCCTCGACCTTGTTTTTGTATGTAAACGGGCGTCCATCCCCTCAGAGAAGCATGCTGATGTGTTGATGGACATTAAGGGACATCAAACCGGTCTGTTCTCATATGAGTTTCTGATACTCCTAGACAAATGCGACAAATCTCTTGTCACTTGGTATCTGAAGACCTTTTATGTACATCTGAACCTTTTCACCTCAATCTCTCTAGCCAGTAGCTCTCAGCTTCATTGCTCACTGTGTGTGTCCTATTGTAAGGTGAACATTAATAGACTTCCATGCCGAGACTATAGTGGCTGTTGTTGACCCAAAGGACTAGGGCAAACGTCAATTCCTCTTTTTGTATCGATTTGTACACATCTTGCGTTCCACTGGGTCTTCAGTGCCATTGTCGAGCTTTCAATGGTCAGATAGAGCCGACCTCCCGCTCCCCTTCAGCCGAACGCCTGCTGAAATAGGCCGCTAATAGAAATGGCTGTTTACTGAAGGACTGTCCCTCACAGGCAATACTCAATCTGACAGACCCTCTAGTGTCTTCAGTCAATAAAATCTTTAAGAGGCCTTTGTGAGCATGGAAGGAGAATTAGATGTTTGATCGAACAAATTTAGCATGCTGGGATTGTGGTGATAAAAAAGGACACACAGAAGAGCAAAATGAAGAATGCAGATTCCCCCTGATATCCATAAATCTTCCATGGTGAAGGAGATTGTGTAAAGGCATTCATGGGACAGATAGAAATATGTCACCAGTAACTCCTTAAAATTACTTATTGTGTTGCTGGCTTCTCATCCTTATTTAACTGTGATTTGTGCTGGGTTTCTTCACATCTGTGTGCTTTTAGGACAGTAAATTAATAAGAATGGAAGACCATGAGTAGGTGTCACACTTTTATTTGATTATTTTTATTTACTATTTTAGCTTTATTATTGGCTATTTAATTATTATTTAATTATATATATATATACACACACATATACATATATATGTATAATTTAACTATTTATTATTATTTTTTATTATTTGTTCTATTTAATTTGTAATGATTTATTAAATAATTACATTTATTATTTAAATTGTTTTTATTTACATTTTTCAGATACTTTTTTATTTACATTTTTCTTAATTATAATTAACTTTTACAGTTAGATATTAATAGTGCTTTTTAAAAATTATTTTAAAATTCTGTACAGTACATATTAGATGACGACTCCAGTCATATCAGTAGCCTGCTAAAAGCCATTTTTTATTTTACATAAAGAGGGTTGCCTCATGTCAAGATCACATGACTGACTGAATACTGTAAATATCTTTAAATATTTAAATACCTTTATTTCAGTAGCCCCCCTGTGTGTCTGTTGGACACATTCACTAAATACAATACTAGTTACATAAATAAATGACAGCATGTGCAGTTATACATCCTCATTTGCTCACAGAATGCAGCGCATAGTGTTCTGAGTGTGTTTTAAATAGCAGCAGTCCTGTGGTGTTTGGTGTCCTCAGTTGGAGAATATGGTTTGAGGTGATTTTGTCATAGAATAACAATGCATTTCTCATTAGCATGGCTCCCACATCGCGCTGTCGGAGATTTGAGCTGCTGTGTGATTGACAGCAGTGACATTATGTGAGATAAATGACTTGGGAAGTGTTGACACCTCTGTGACAGCCTCGCGGGGTCATTCTTCAGGGCAGCTTAAATTCAGATGCTGCCTAATAGAGGAGCAGCAGAGTCCATGAGCTGTTTGTGTGCTTATCTGAGTCTGTAACTGAGATCGCTGACTGGACAATTGAGTTTGTGTACTTTTAATGCCAAACAGCCCAAATTTGACAGAAAATCTGTCTGTCTGTCTGTCTTTCTATCTATCTATTTATCTGTCTGTCTGTCTATCGTATCTGTCTGTTCTATCAATCTGTTGGTCTAACTGTTGTTCTGTCGAATCTATCTATCTATCTATCTATCTATCTGTCTGTCTGTCTGTCTGTCTGTCTGTCTGTCACTTTATTGTTCTACCATTCTATCTATCATTTTATCTATCTGTTCTTTCTGTTCTATCGATCTGACAGTCTAACTGTCGCTGTGTCGCATCCATCTGTCTGTCTATCATTCATCTATATATGGTTCTATTTATCATTCTATCTGCAGTAGGTCTATCGGTTTTTCTGTCATTATACTATTCTGTCTGTCGTTCTATCTATCCAGCTATCATGACTTTCTGTCGATCTTTCTACGTACAGTATCTGTTGTTCTATCTGTCGTTCTACCATTCCATCCATCCATCCATCCATCCATCCTATTATCATTCTATATCCATCCGTTCTGTCTGTCTATCCATCTTATTATCATTCTATATCCATCCATTCGGTCTGTCTCTATCTCTTTTAACCAGATTGAGGTTACATTTTCCATCAATCTCTGTACTAGCATCAGAATTAGTCAAAATATGTACAGTAAGTACCAATTACTCAACTAATGCTCATTCTTTGCTCTTCATTTTGTTGCATTAGTGCAAAAAGCTAAATATTCCTGTCTTTGTCATACAGTGAAAATACGAGAAAAAATGAATTTTCTTAAAATATGAAAACTTTAAAAGCCTACCATCAGCCCTCGTCAGGTGCAGAAATTAAATAGGTGGTAGTAAACCCGCAGTTTCTAATGCTAATGCAGGCAGAGACTTGAATGTTAAAAATAGATCATAGCCCCCATTTGTCCCTAAAGAGAAGTGGACTTGAGTTTCATGAGAATACCTGCCCCAGTTTCGTCTTTAACCTGTGTTCTCTTTCCCTCCGTGAGGCACTGGTGGGGTAATGCACAATACTTGCTGCTGCTGAAGGTAATCCGTGAAGGATGATAGAACTCTATCGGCACTCTGCAGAGACTCAAGCATGTAATGTGTGTAATGGAGCCAGACAGGAAGTTCCCTTTGAAGAGTCTCGTCCTCACAGGGTGACCTGGAAGGTTGAGGAGGGCGTGGGGGTGATTTTCTGAGTCAAATCTTTTGATAATCCCAAAACTCTCTGACTCGTCAATGAGTATAGCTCCACAACATGTTTGTGACGTTCATAGTTTTTCCCAAAGACTAGTTCCGTCTGTAGCATTGGTAGGGGTGGGAGAAAAAAACGATTCACCTAACTATCACGATTCTTTTAAAAGCGATTTAAAAATCGATTGGTTTATCTCAGAATCGATTTATATTTAATTATTTTACTTTTCCTAAAGCCTGGCTCACACTATAGGTTAGCCCGATCGATTTAGCCCCGATTTCCTGCTAATGTGAGGCATTCACCGATCGAATCTTGCACCTCCCGATCTGCTCGCACACAAATCGGGGCCGCCCCGATCATATCAAAATGTTTGATAATTTAGGATTTAAATCGGGATGATGACGCTATATGATTACGTCAGTACTTTCACAATAGCCAATGCGCGACCGCAAAACAGCTGCTGTATGGCCCCGTTGGATAGTGGAGACGGAGGAAACTACTTCTTGACGTTTTATAATAACACCACTGTTTGTATAATGTGTCGAAAACGTATCACAACTGTAAGGATAAAGAGAAGCACTGGAGTGAAATCGCCTCAGTTTTGAATGTACCGGGTGAGTGTAGAAAGCAGCTAGCACACTAACTAACATATGTAAATATCACTGAAATATCAATGACGATCTGCTGCGTGAGATCACGTGAGGCGCTCCCTCTTGCAAAGATTCTCCTTATGTGTGTGCTGCAACCAGATTTCATAATCGGTTAGGATTTTAAAACTCCTGTAGTGTGAGCCCGGCTTAAGAGGTGGTGGGGAGAAGTTACCGCATTTATTCCAACAGAGGGCGAACTGTATAGGTGTGTTCAACTTGAAGCAGCAGCGTGCAGACCGATCGGCGTATGACATCAAAGTACCGCGAAAGCGATTCGTAAGCATTCGGAGCTGTCTGCTCTCTCTAGCTCTCGCAGTGCTTTGTCATACAGCAATCGGTCTGAGTTCTCAGCGCTGCTGTATTAGATGACGTTGTATAGGGGAGCGCGGGGCACAAAGTAACGCGGGGTAAGTTGTAACACACGTGGTTTAAATATTTCCACACATGCTAGCATAACCAAATTTACAGCATTTACTAGTTACTATATCAACATTATATAGAGAAAAAAAGTGCGCCAAAATTCAAAAGTCTTTTGAAGATATCGCTGAACATTTATTTTACCATAGTAAAATTATATTTCTGGCTTAAGTAAATTTTTCATCTCAGTTTTTATTACTCATTTAAAATTAGACAAATCTGCTATTATTTTAATCTCCAGTCTGATATTTATCAGTTTAGATTATTTTTTAATGCTTCGCTAACTATCAGAAGACAGTAACCAGTTTTAAATTCCCACTATTTATACTATTGTAATTCACACTATTTACTTTAATA